AGGTGAAAGACTTCTGAGAGCATATGAAGGAAATGGTAAGAATCCTCTGGGAGGAGTTTGGGGTTACCTAGGTGTGAGGGGAGATATGAGATGAGCTCTTCCTCAGGCTTAGGCTTGTTTGTTAAAGCTGAATCACAGCAAAGGGGGGTTTTATGGTGTTAGGTTTTCAGATATGCCAAGAAGATGTAAAAACAACTGCTTGAAAAAGTCCTGGGCATTTTAAAGTAATATTTGTTGGGGATTTACTGAAGATGCTGTAACACAGCCTGTGGCAGCATCTGCTTCCCAGATTAACAGAGGGTTTGCAAACAGCACTTTGGAAGCAACCTCCAAGATTATTGGAAAACTGGAGAACAGACTTGGTGAATGATTCATGACACGGGTTTGCGTATCAGTTGTTCCTTTTCCTTTCTTTGTCAAATTTATTTATTTCAGTGCTATTATGCAGGAGGCACACAAACACTGGAACCATCCTGGAAGTGTTGATGTGCCAGGATTGTGCTGCTCATCACAGCAGGGGCCTGAGACTGCAGAGCTGGAGGGCATCCTCATCCAATGCAAATGGGTTTTATTTTGGAGCTGTTGAAACTTGGACCAGGAGCTGGAGGTGGGCTGCAGTGGGAGATAAAAATATTAACTCGGTGCTAATCTCCTGTTCGGGTCGGTGGATGTTTGATCAGTGGAGTCTGGAGGGTGTTTCACACCCGAAAATAGATACTGATGTTTGAGTAACTAAATGGCTCACCAAACACCCCAGATCATGCTGACTGCATCCCCATGGACTGCAGTTAGAGCTGGGACAGCCACCACATGTGTAGGTCACGATTCAGCTGCTGAACATGGGTGTCTGTTTTTACCTTAAGACACATTGCTTAGTCTCCATCTGTGAATCAAGAGGTCCAGGATCATATCTGGAAGTGCCACACATGGGTCTTGGATAGCTTAGGGAATCCAACATGCCAACTAAATCCAGGATTTGCACGTGGGCACCCCAGCTGAGATGCCTTAATCTGGAGCTGAATCCTACCCAGCATGCCAGGGTCTGGTACAGGTTCATCAGGCTGTCCCTGAGGAATCACCCCTTGGCACTGACCCAGGGAAAGGCATGCCCATGGTCCATCCTGCTAGCTGTCAGTCCAGGGCTACCCTGTGCTTCAGGTGAGCTAAATTCCAGCTGCTGGCTGGTCAGGGCTAGAGCATGGATGGAATACTTGGGAGTCCACTGGGAGTGTGTGAGTGCCTGTTCTGTTGAGGGCAGGGGTGTTCCCAGTGTGGACACCTTGGAGAGAGTTCTGGATTTCCTCAGCATGGGAAGGACATGGACCTGATGGAGCGAGTCTAGAGGAGACCATGGAGATACTCCAAGGGCTGGAGCCCCTCTGCTCTGGAGTCAGGCTGGGAGAGCTGGGGGGGTTCACCTGGAGAAGAGAAGCTCCAGGGAGACCTGAGAGCCCCTTCCAGTGCCTAAAGGGGGCAGAGTTTTTAGTAGAATCTGTTGCAATAGGACAAGGGGTGATGGTTTTAAATTCATCAATTAGACTACCTGTTAGGAAGAAGTTTTTTGCAGTGAGTGTGGTAAAATATTGGCACAGGTTTCCCAGAGAAGCTGTGGATGCCCCAGCCCTGGAAACGTTCAAGGTCAGGCTGGACAGGGTTCTGAGCAACCTGATTTAGTCGAAGGTGTCCCTGCTGATGGCAGGGGAGTTGGACTGGATGGTCTTTAAAGGTCCCTTCCAACCCAAACTCTTCTGTGATTCTGTGATAAAGTCTGTTTCTGCACGCGGGGTTGATCTCAAGAGCAGGACCAGCATGGCCTGTCACCAGTTTGTTTGGGAACTGTCCTTTCCAGCTCTGCAGCCCACCCCAGCTGGGGGATGGAGAGGTCAGTGTTCTAAAGACAGGCAGAAGCTCCACTTCCAGAGGCACGTGGTGAGAGGAACAGACCCGAGTGAGCTGATGTGGCATGTTAGTGATGTGCTCAAGGAGGGTAATTAGACTTCAATGTCATATCCAGGAGGGTGTGTTCAATTCATCTGCAAACCACCCCAAGAAGCTAAAAGGGGCCTTGTGGCTGAGGGGGAAGCCACAGGCAAGCCTGGTTGATCTACAGCTTTTCATTGCACGTGTGTTCTGGGAACGGGAGAATGAAGCCTGGGCTGCTCTCAGCAATACCCATCCTAATTTGGAAACTGCTGCAAGGGCACCAGGGCATCCTCCTCGGGTCCCTGTTCACTGGCTCAGAGGGTGGACTATGACTGTGGTTGTTCACAGCCTCTGTTCTTCATGGCCATGGGTTAATGAAACTGTGATTGAGGTGTAGCCTTTTCTTAGCCCAGAAACTCCCATTTATTGCCCCATGAGGATTCTCCTGAACCTCAAACAGTGATTTATTTTCTTTTAGGTGAAATCATAGAATCACAGAATCATTTAAATTGGAAAACACCTTTAAGATCATCAAGCCCAACTGTTCCCCCAGTATAACCAGGGTCACCACTAACCTGTGTCCTCAGGTGGCACATCTACATGGCTTTTAAATCTCTCCAGGGATGGTGACTCTACCACTGCCCTGGGCAGCCTGTGTAGGGCTTGGCAACTCGTTCTGTAAAGAAATTTCTCCTCCTATCAAATCTAAACTTGTCCTGGTGCAACTTGAGGCTGTTTCCTCTCTTCCTGTTGCTTGTGAGAAGACACCAGCCCTCACCTGTCTACAAGGTGTTGCTTTGCAAGCTGTTGTGTCCCTGAGTTGCCCTTGCCGTGGGGAGCAGCTGCAGTGAAGGACCTGTAGAGAGAAGGAGAATTTAGCTAGAAGTTAAAGCTGAAGCCCAGCACTGCTCCTGGGAAACAGAATGCCAGGCCCTGCCCTGATGTTGGGAGGGGGTTGTGCATCAGCCTTAGCAAAGCTGATGAGCTCTGGAGGGAAGCCAGGGCATTGCAGGAATTTTGCAGCGTTCTTCAGGAATTTTGTCCTAAACAAAGACGACAGTGCTGACCCACATGGACATGCTGACAGTGGCCTGCACTAAGCTCTTTGCCCCCTTGCTGATCACTTGTGGCTGCAAACGAGCCATTAGTCCTCAGCAGTGGCAGTTCCTTGTCATCTAATGATCTGAACAGGGCTGGGGCTAAGGAAGGAGGTCGTGCTGGAGTGCGCAAGGTCAGAGCAGCTGGATGCTCTTGAAAGCAGATGGACTCATTAGCTGCAGGGAAATCCCTTTCCTGGGGCTGATCCTGGCCCTGGTGCTGGCCTGCAGCCACTCTGTGCTGCACCTGTGCTCCATGCGTTGCCTACTGCCTAAATGTCCTCAGACTGGTGCTCGTAGGAGCGTGAGAAGGAAAATTAGAGGCCACCACAAAGGTTACCCTTCGTGGTTCTCCTCCATTCCTGGGGTGTGCATGTGCAGCAATTGTCTTACCAGTTCAGTAGATTGGGTAGGGTGTTCAGAGCCCCTCGGTTCCTCCATCCTGGGACAGTCATCCAGGTGTCAGCCCCACTTGAAAAATGTTGTTGGCACCTTCCCGTGAAAATCATGAGAGTGAGAATCTCATGAAGGCTGACTCAAGGTCAGTGGCTCCATCTGAAAGTAATGAGTGGGTGGGAGAGGGGTCCCAGTTGCTTCCCTGTGTCATGGGTAATGGGAAATAGGACTGATGGACCCTGTCCTAGTAAACCCATTGCAAGGGCTGCCTGGAGAAGGAAGGAAATTGAGAGACTGCACATGACTACCTGTTTCCTTGCTTTGCACACCACTAAGCTTTGGCATAGAGATCCCTTTTCCCTTGCAGCTTCCATGGGTTGATGGCAACCCCTTGGCCCTGGACAAAACTCAGGTGCAAACCCAGGTTTAAGGAGAAGATGTGAGCTGGAGGTGCCATTTTAGGGAAAATACCCCAGATCATCACTTTGGCATGCAAATACTGCATCTCCACCTGACTGCTGAACCACACGAGCAATTTCCAGCTGTGCACTACCATAATATGTGCCATGGTGGTCTTCCTCTCTGCCCTTACCCAGGAGGAGACCCCCCCAAACTGTACTAGGTGTGCTCAGGACCCTGATAATATGATGGCTGCCTGCTGGTGGGGGTCTCAGTCCTTGAGGTTGTGCTGAAAGGGAGTCAGGTCCCCCAAAACACCCTCCTGCTGATCTCATTCATCAACCCTGAGCCCTGCCCACCTCCAGGCAAGCTGCTGGGCCACCTCATCCCTCAACAACCACCCTGTAGGTAACCTGTGTTATCAACCATCAGTGTGTTTTGTCATCTCCTCTGGCGCGTGCTGGTGGCAGTTCCACTCACCTAACACCTCCTACGTGGAGGTGTCAGCCTCCTGTTTGGAAATGCCAGCCTGTTCAGAGACACTGTCTCCATCATTTGCAAGTGCAAGTTGTGGCCAGGAGCTTCTGTAGGGCTCCATTTCTCCAAAGTTTTTCCCAAATCAGGAGGGACGGGAGACTTTTATGGGCAGAGCTGGGAGGACAGTGGTCATACACCTTTCCCCCCGGCGCCCCAGCACCTCTGGGATGTGGGTTTATTGCAGGCTCCCCTGCAAATACCGTCGTGGGTACCACTGAGGTACCACTGACAACTGAACTGTGGTTGCAGAAAGCCCCAGGAAGCTGATAATCCCACAGGGACCAAAGCATAGTGTTTAGCTGGGGGGTGGGATGGGCGAAGCAGCCAAGGCTGCCTGGATGTGATCCGTTTCCGGAGTGTTCATCTCCCAGCTGTCACAGGAGATGTGATACGGTGGGAGGACGGGGTGGGTTTGCACCTCCATGGCACGATGTTGCTAGGTGATCTTGTGATACAGGGGAGGGTGATGAGCAGATGAACTGACCGTGGAAACATGTGTGGTAGCAGAGCAGGAGCAGGCCTGCCTCCGTGTTTCCTCATTGTGCCAGCAGAAGGTGTCTCCAGAGCTGGCCTTTCTTAACCAGACGCTCAGTCCTGGATCTGATGGCGGGTTTTGTTTTGTTTTTTCCTCTCTCCGTTGTTCCTCAGGAGATGGTCAGAGGAGTGAAGGGAGTGTCGCCGATTTGAAAGAAAACCAAGGGTCCTGGTGAGTACTCATGTGTGTGAGCTTTGTGGGGAGAGCTTGTGGCTCCTGGCAAGCAGGACATGATTTGGGGCTGCCTTGATATCTTTCTGGGCTCTTGGGTGTCTGATCCTGCCCTTCAGTTATTGATTTCCTGTGGCAGAGGAGGTGGTTTGTCGCGTTGATGGATCAGCACAAAGCATCTTTGCCGCCGCCACCACCGCGATTCTCTGCTGTCATCAGCGACCGAAACTCTAATTGCTCTTCCTGTAAATCTGTAGAAGATGCTCTCATGAACGTGTGTGTGCTGAGTGCTGCAGTGCTGGAGGGAGCAGGCGGCACATAACGCTGGCAGCTGTGCGGGAGTGCGCCGAGCAACAATATTTGTTAATGCTTGGAGTGCTTTTGGCTGTTGTTGTGCTTGGCCCCGGCGCAGACCCAGTCACGGGGCTGCGATTCTGGGGTGACATTTCAAGGTCCTCTCCAGACCTGTTTTCTGCAGCTGTCGCACAGGAGGCTGTGAATTGGATGCCTTCCTGAAGGTCTTGAAGAGGAAGAAAGGAAAATCCTTTTTTTTAATCATCTGAGCTGGTTCAGATGTGCCAGAGCCAGATCCCGAGTTGATGTTGCTGAACCGAGGGTATTTTGCATTGTGCCAGGTAGGAGGCTCGTCTTCTCACGAGCAACTGCCTGGTTTGCACTGGCCAAACCCTCAGCAGAGCTGTGCTGTGAGTCCCCCACAGGTTCCCATCTGTCAGGGGCTGAATCCCCACATCTCCCCTCTGGGCCCACACTGCACACGTTTTATGGACACTGAGGAGCATCTCGCTGCTGGGTTGTCACAGAATTATAGAACCACGGTTTGGGTTGGAAGGGAACTTTAGAGCTCATCTAGTCCAAACCCCTTCCATGGGCAGGGACACTTTCCAGATTGCTCCAAGTCCTGTGCAACCTGACCTTCAACACAGCCACAGCTTCTCTGGGCAACCTGTGCCAGGGCCTCATCACCCTCTTCATAAAGAACTTCTTCCTTATATCTCTTGGGTCTGTGCTGTAGCCTGGACTATGTGGACATGAAGGAACAGTGCTGGTGTTGGGTGTACCACAAGGAGATCCAGATTTTAAGACACACCTCAGCTCCTATAGTGTAAGCATGAGTTTAGAAGGGAGACAGTGACACAATATGGTTTCAGAAAGCAATCTTCAGACATTTAAAAAGATAGAAGGCCTTTGTAGTTAGAGGAGGTATTTTTATCCCATTTTAAATCTGGTCTAGTTTGGGCAGCACGCTAGAATGAGCAGAAGCCTGTCACTCTCCTCTGGCTGGTCACCTCCTGGCAAGGCAGTCAGGGAGGGTGCTGACACCCTGCTGTCCCCCCACACCCCCTCAACAGAAAAACCCAAGCGATGCTTTGTTTCCAGAAATCGTCTCTGATTCCAAAACAGGTGCTATTCAGTGCCTGGAGGAAAAACCAAATTCCTCTCTGGCTCCCACACCTCCCACTGCTTCCCTGCTGCCTCTCTGCAATTACCTAGAAAAGAAACCCAGACTATCTCCCTGGGAGAATCAACCCCCTTGTCTGTAAACAGGGCAGCCTGGAAGGCCACCAGCTGCAGAACTGAGTGCCATCACCAGCCTGGGGTTGCGGACTGTGGTCCCCCACCCCAGGGACCCCTTGCACCCATCTGCTCCTAAATTTGCTGCATTTCCCCTCCCTGCACCCCAGCCCCTGCTCTCCTGGCAGAGATGGAGGACCAGTGTGTATCTGGAGCACAGGATATTTTATCATGCTGGCTTTCCTGATTTACACCAACAGGGGTTTGGTCCCCCAAGCTCCAGCAATCCTGAAGTGATTCACCTTATTAAACATCCGTTTGCACTGTCTTTAGCGTTAAATAATTGTCTCCTCAGCATATTTGAGTTGGAGGGTATCTAATAATCCTGTGAACTATTCATCATGCTCCATTATCATCTTTCCACTCCTGTGTTGGCTGCCTCGTGTCAGCTCTGCCTGGGGTTTACAAATAGATTTCGTTTCTCCTGCAGTTTTCCTCCTTTTCTTCTGTCTCATCCTCTCAAAGGAGCCATTTCAGGCTCCTTAAAATTTGTGCAGACGCTCCCATCAGCATCCTTCTGCTGACTCGTGAGCGATGAGTCCCGTCCATGTGCTGGCTCCGCTCCTGCCAGAGCCCCCAAACAAAAACTCTCATTTACCACAGAGGAGTAGAATTGTTATCTCGATTGAAAGAATTGCAACCTGCAAACTGATAAATCATCACACTGTTGGAGTTTCCTTGTTGGCTCAGAGGATTTGTAGGACACACAATAATGACTTGTCAGCTCCCCTCTGGCAGACCAGCACTGCAGCACTCACACACAGGACACAAACCCCAGATGTCCTGATTGTATTTTAATAAGGATGCTTAAGAGGGCTCCTAAAACCCCTCCTAACCAGGGGGGTAATGTGAAAGCTGAGAATAGAATAGAATAGAATAGAATAGAATAGAATAGAATAGAATAGAATAGGTTTGTGTTGGAAGTGACCTTTAAGAGGCATCTAGTCCACCCCCACTTCAATAAGCAGGCACATCTTCAACTAGACCAGGTTGCTCAGAGCCCTGTCCAGTCTTTATCATATTATTTTTGGTACCTGTTGCTGCTGCTGCCATGCCAGCAATGGGAGAGATGCTCAGCATCCTTTCAAAATCAGGCTTGTGCTCATCTCTCTGAGTCTGCAGCATCCTGGAGGAGAAGGATGTGTTGGGAGATTGTATCCTTGTGGATCAGATTTGCTTTTAGAGCAGATGCACATATTCCCATTTCTACAGGCTCTGGAGGTGCTGCTGGATGTTTTGCCAGTATCAGGAAAGACATAGCTAGGTTTTACTCGTGAAAAATTAACTTCTTCCTTTTTATATGACTTAAGAAATGGTCTTCCCAGAGAAATTCTGGGATTATCAAGACTGGGTTTAGAATGACAGACTGGGATTGCATAGCAAGATGTAGCACTGGGGCAGACAAGCAGAGTCATAAAAACAGGACCAGTCTCTCTTACAAACATCTTCCCATGTGGTCTGAACATTCCTTTGCTGAGTTGTTCTAGATGCATCTTTTGCTCCTAGGGTATAAAACATGCAAGGGAAATTTCAGCAACTTCAACCCATTTAGGAGCTCTCCAGCCCATACATTAAGTTCTACCCAGTCATTTCAAGATCACCCTTTAAAAAAATCTTTCCCAGTTCTAACCTGTCAAGAGGAGATTGATAAGAGGAGATTAAAATCCTAAAATAGCCACCTGGTACTTCCATAAAAACATGTTGGTGCAATTGTCTAAAGGACAAAAACATTGAATTTTGTACTGAGATGTGCTTGCTTTTGCAAGGATAGGTTTCACTTTGCATCCCTCTCCTGGGTCCAGTATATTATTGGGCAGGAGCCTCCTCTGAGTGAACTTGCAGTGAACAGAAAAAAGAGGGGAAAACCCCCCCGTAAACAAGATAAGTTATTGTGGAACAAGTGGTATTAATTCTGATTGACACATGGAGGAGACCATGTGGTGTGAAGTCCCACGTTCCTTCAGCAGAGGCAGAGACCTGGTTCTCTGAGACATTTGCAGTGTCTTAAGGACTACGGGTTTTACTTCTCCAGGAGAGGCGTCGCCGTAGGACAGAAACCTCGCTGGTTCCTGCGCCTCTGCCCTAATGCCATTACTCTCCTCCTTTTGCAGATCCTCATAATGACATTCATGGTCACACACGCACACAAAAAAAGTACTTTATAAAAAGAAAACGAATCTGGCTTCAGCCGGCTCTCGCCTCCTGCCGCGGTTGCCTCCAGACCCCGGCTGGCCCGGGGTGAAATGAAAAGGGGAGTTAATGTAGCGGGGTCATTCCTCACCACTGAATTGGTCAGCCGTCTACGGAGCCAATTTCTGCAGCTTTTCAGCGGCGTGGTAGACCCCTGGGTAATATTTGCCTGAATAGAGCCCTAAGTGTTTAAGCTGTGTTGCCAGGAATGGCTGTTTTATCCCATGCATCTGAGATTTCGGCTCATCAGACGTGAAGCAGGTCAAGACTCTCATGCCATTGTGTGCATTGCAGCGAACAGAACAGAATATGCTTGATAAAAGGGAGGACTTAAAAGAAATGCTTCTTTAGACCCGAAACTTTCAAGTCCCACAATGCATCAAAGACCCCTCGTACAGACTTTGAAAGGGGCGAAAGGCATTGCCTAATATTTGGAGGAAATGAATAATAAAGCATCCCAAGTGCCTGGAAACTAATTTAGGAGTGCACGTTGCACTGTATTGCCTCTGCTGGATTCGCTCCCCAGAAGAGTTGCTAACAAAGGGTTTAAAAAAAAAAATAATAAAATGACGTTTGTAGACCAACTTTTCTGCCTTGAAATGCCCCCTTTTTTGTAATGTTTCCTGGTAAGAGTTACTTATGAAAGGATGAAATACAGCCTGTGCTGCAAACACCAGGTCTCAAATGAAGCTTGGGAGCCCGTAAGGTTTCCCACCATTCCCCTCCCTGTCACAGCCTTTTGTTCCTTCATGTTGAAAGCATTGCTTGCAGGATGCTTGCAGGATGCTGAGGCACTACCAGCTCATGGAGTTTAGTCATACCTTAGGGGAAAAAAGAAAAAAAATCAACCTGTTTCTGTGGCCTTTGCTTTTGTTCCAGCAAAACCACCTTTGGGTACAGTTGGGACTGCTCTGTGGGTGACCTGCTGCTCCCTGCAGCAGGAACTGGGAGCTTGGTCCCATGCTGAATGTATCTGTTATGTTTCTGGTATCCCCATGGATGCTGAAGGTGCTGTTTGAAGCCTGAGATACTTATTGTACAGTCATAGAATGGTTTGGGTTGGAAGGGACCTCAAAAGCCATCCAGTTCCAACCCCTATTCCATGGACAGGGACACCTTCCACTAGACCAGGTTGCTCCAGGCCCCCATCCAACCTGGCCTTCTTTCCAGAGGGCTTCTTGCCATCAGTTTGTTTCTGAAGTGCAGTGGTTCCTAATG